TTTGACTCATTTTCATGTTTAAAGCCTTATAAAATAAGACATGCGTTTAGATTGCCAGGCGTTTAGATTGCATTTTCCACAATCACAGGACATTGCATTAAGTTTTACAGCAATTAAATACATTTGAAATGTAATCACTGTTATGGAAATAATTAACTTGATTAATCTCCTTAATGTATTTACAAAAAATAAAGCACCATTAAGTCAATCATCCCTGCCCTATCCTAAAATGCTATCACACCATTAACTACTGCTGTCCATCCTCCATACAGCCATCTAGGTTGAAACAAATCTTCAATTTAGAAAAAAAAAATCCAATCCACATTTTCACTACTTAATATAAAGGACTCTTCGTGATGCAGAATCTTCTATTATCTAGTTCTGCGATTTCACATACTAATGGTCTGAGTCTTCCTTAAATCATATAGCTGAAATGGCCTGCACAACTGGACCAAGATAATCCTTTCATCTTTGATTAAAAAGATATCAAACAAATCCAACCTAGGGGTTTAAAAACACTTAACTGGAGAAGGGCCAATTTCAGAGGGTTGAGAATGGGTCTGTCCCAGGTGAACTGGATTGTGCGGTTAGCAAGCGTAATCATAACTGAACAATGGACTGCCTTTAAGGACTTGATGGATCAGGTACAGTTGAGGCACAATCTCACAAATGTGAAAAAGGAAGACAAACTAAGCCTGCTGAGGAAAGTGATAGAGTCAGAAAAAGCAGAAAGAGAGCTGACATGATAAATGTTAGGCTTATAATAGAAGTGAGAACCAGGCTGGAAAAAAAACCTCTTCAGTGAAGTAACTGGCAGACTTAGGAGAGAACACAATAAGTGAATGAAAGTAAAATAAGACTCTAAAAGTTGTCTGTAGTCATAGAAATAGGAAAAGGGCAGTAATCGGAGGAGTGGGGACAAGTAGGAACCAAAAGGAAATCTACATATGGAAGCTGAGAGCTTAGCTGAGATACTAAATATGCTGTTGCATCTGTGCTTACCAAACGAGATGCTGAAGTCAAAGTGAATGAAGTAGTTGAGATACTAAATGAACAAAAACATACTTTAGGGAAGCTGGCTATATCTAAAATTTATAAGTCACCAGAAGATGTATCCAAGGATGCAAAGGGAAGCAAGGATAGAAATTACGAAGGAACAAGCCATCTTCCACAAGATGAAATCCTTTTTAAAATTTGATTTATCTATTTTAAGTAGAGCTAGGCTTTCCAATATCACCTCTTCAGCAATTTTTAGTCCATCCAGTATCTCAACTACGTCTTTCACTTTTTAAAAAAGGATGTAACAGTGTAATCAGTTTAACCTAAAATAGGTTAAAAATCACGGATACGCGATTTTTGTCTGCAGATGTTGATTTTTTGTTGGTACTTATTTTTTGGCACGGATATGTGATTTCGTGAATTTTGATTTTGCGAAAGAGGATTTACTGTACTTGGACAAGTATAGTTTTGTTAGAAGTAAATCTTGATTAACAAACTTGAGTAAGCTTTTTATTAAACTGAGATAATATGAGCAGTAACATAAGGTTGATGTAGTACATGTTGGATTTTCAAAAGGAATTTGATAAAATGTCATATAGCAGGCTTGCAGAAGTATTAAAGCCCACAAATAAAAGGGACAGTGTCTGTACATACAAAGCTGGCTTTTCTTTCATTCATTTGTAGGACATGGGCATTGCTAGTTGGCCAGCATTTATCTCCTGTACTAGTTACCACTGAGAAGGTGGTGATGAGCTGCTTTCTTGAACTGTTGCACTCCATATGCTGTAGGCTGATCCATTTATCTGCTGCCCTTGTCCTTCTGGACGGGAATGGTCATGGGTTTCAAAAGTGCGGTATAAAGATCTTTGGTGAACTTCTGCAGTGCACCTTGTAGATAGCACACACTGCTGCTACTGAATGTCAGTGGTGGAAGGAGTGGATGCTTGTGAATGTGATGCCACTCAAGCAGGTTGCTTTGTCCTGAAAGGTGTCAAGCTTCTTGAATGTTGTTGGACCTGCACCCAACCAGGCAACTGTGGAGTCTTGTAGATAATGACAGGCTTTGGTGAGTCAAGAGGTGAGTTACTTGCCACAGTATTCCTAGCATCTGACCTGTTCTTGTAGCCACTGTGTTTACATAGCGAGTCCAGTTGAGTTTCTGGTCAATGGCAACCTAAAGGATATTGATTGTGGGGAATTCAGTGATGGTAACATTACTGAATGTCAAGAGGCAGTGGTTAGAATGTCTCTTATTGGAGATGGTCATTGTCTGCCATTTGTATGGCACTTGTTAGCCTAAGCCTTGGTATTGTCTGGATCTTGTTGCATTTAAGCATGGACAGCTTCAGTATCTGTGGAGTTGTGAATGGTTCTGAACATTGTGCAGTCATCGGCAAACATCCCCACTTCTGACTTTTTGAACAAAATGAACAAATGAAAAAGTACAGCACAGGAACAAGCCTTTCGGCCCTCCAAGCCTGTGCTGACTATCATGCCCTAATTAATCTAAAAACAAACCTGCCTTTTTTTGATCCGTATCCCTCTAAAACCTCCCCATTCACATACCCATCTAGGTGCCTCTTAAATGTCTTCAATGTGCCCACTTCCACCACCTCTTCTGGTAGTGCGTTCCAGGCTGCTACCCCTCTCTGCGTGAAAAACTTGCCTCACACATCTCCCTTAAACTTTCTCCCTCTGACCTTGAACCTGTGCCCCTTGTAATTGAAACTTCAACGCTGGGAAAAAACCTCTGACTATCCACCCTATCTACGCCTCTCATAACTTTGTAGACCTCTATCAGGTCTCCTCTCAGCCACCATCTTTCCACTGAAAACAATCCTCGTCTTTTTAACCTTTCCTCATAGTCAATGCCCTGGAGACCAGGCAACATCCTGGTGAACCTTCTCTGCACTCTCTCCAAAGCTTCCACATCCTCTGCCACTGTGGCCTAATAAGGGTTTTATACAGCTGCAACATGTTTTGCCAACTCTTGTACTCCACGCCCTGGGTGATGAAGGCAAGCATGCCATATGACTTCTTAATCACCTTGGCTACCGGTGTTGCCACTTTCAGGGAACTGTGGACCTGCATGCCCAGATCCATCTGAATGTTAGTGTTCCTAAGGGTTCTGCCATTTACAACATAATTCACACCTAAATTTGATCCTCCAAAATGCATCACCATGCATTTGTCTGGATTAAACTCCAACTGCCATTTCTGTGCCCAAATCACAAATCTATCTATCTATCTATATCCTGTTGTATACTTTCACAATCATTTTGATGGAGGAAAAAATCATTGATGAAACAGCTGAAGATGGTTGGGCCGAGGACACTACCCTGAGGAACTCCTGCAGAGATGTCCTGAAGCTGAGATGTCTGTCCTCCAACAACCAAAACCAATATTGTAGCTGTACTGGAAGAAAAAACTGGAAGCAGGGTGAATGGCTGTTTTTGATTGGAGAAAGGTGGTGTTCTCGAGGAACTGCTGCAAGGAACAATATTTTTCTTTATAAATATCTCAATGGCTTAGACATGGGAATATAGGGCATAATTCCAAAGTCGAAATATGACAAAAATTCTGGATGTATTGCAAACTGTGGAAGAGGATAGACTTCAACAAAAAAAAAGTACACTGTGGAATAGGCAGACACTTGACGTATGAAATTTTATGTAAAGTAATGAGAGGTGCAGAGATGTTTATTGCAGTAATAAGGAAAGGTAATGGAAAATAAAAGGTAAAATTCTATTGAGAGTGCAGAATGCATGTGTACAAGTCTTAAGGTGGCAGTGCAAATGAAGAAAGTTGCTAGAAAGGCTTACAGGGTCTTGGGTTTTATAAATATAGAAACAGCATACAAAAGCAACAAAGTGGTTTGGCCTCAACTGGACTAATGGGTACAGCGATTTATGGAGAATAAGAGAGCTTTGGAAAGCGTGCAAAAAAGTGAATTTCCAGTGAATTCAAAGACTTCAGTTACATCAATAGACTGAAGAAGCAGGAATTGCTATAATTAACAAATTTGAAAGATGATTTGATAAGGTGTTCAAAATCACAAGGGGTCTAGACAAAGTAGATAGTGCAAAAAAGTGTTTCTGTTGGCAGCAGATTCAAAAACAAGAGGACACAGATTTAAAGCTGTTAGCAAGAGCAACAATGGCTAGATGGAGAAAGTCATTTTTATATAGCATGTGGTTAATATCTAGAATGCACTGCTTGAGGATGCTGGAGGCAGATTCAGTTGTAGTTTTCAAAAGGGAACTCGCAATGTAACTGAAAACAAATCCAAAGGGCTCTGTAGAGGGGCTAACTAAATTTCTCTTTCAGGGAAGAAATCCAACACATTTTCAATTGGCTAAATGATCTCATCTGTGCTGTAATTACTTCTGTACCGCTACACCGCATCCCCAAGTTAAAAGGCCCAAATTTCTTGTCCGAGTGTCAGAGTGCCTAAAATTAGTGAACCCACAACTGAGCCTTTACCAAGGCATCTATATTCCCAACTTTAAGAAGGTCAAAACAGAACTCGAAATGTGGTTTGACCAAGTTGCTGTGCATTAAAAAAAAGGCTAAGATTGGCTTGAGCCATAATAGAACAATGGCAATATTAAGTTGGCAGTCGATTTTATACTATAATGGATTTGCTTTACCGTTCCCTTTAATGATAATCTTTATGGCATTGATTATACACCTTCAACTGATCCATTCACGACCACTCCCAAACCCTTATCCTATGTAGGAGCCTTGAGGATTTGAATGTACTTCAGACAGAATTGTGAATATACTTGTTACACAACTCAAAATAATATCTATTCCTGATATTTTACCATGAAAGAAATAACTTTTAATATCTTAGTTCTTCAAAATTAACTTTAGTTTCATTTTCCTGCTTACGCACTTTACCTGCAACTTTTAAAAAAGGCTAAGCCATTAAAAAACAACACTGACTCTCAATCTTATTAGAGGCTTTTCTGGTTGACGAGGATTTCCAATACGTTCTCTTTCAGCAACATCCAACATTCCTTCCACCTACAAGATAATTAGAGATAACAAAAATTAGTTGAAAAGAACTACTGTTCAATAAAAACTAGTTCAGAGTCTCTATTCATTGCAACAGTCTCAATATTCGCTCTATTCTGTAGATATTTACCATGTATTCTACTCAAGTACGTTGTAACATTCTCAAACAAACCATAATAGAAGTACACAATTATTGACCATACTTGTATGACCCATAGTGCAAACATGATGATATAAGTGTAAATAAGTTATATAGAATTCACAGTAGTTTCTGCAATGCTGTCAAGCTACAGCAGCACAGCATTTCTAGAAGTGCAGGGATAGATTCAGAACTGTGTTGTCAATTGTGAAAAAAAATTCATTCTCTGGAAGGGTGGAGACAGATGCATGCTTATGGCGTCCAAAATGAATAAGTTCATTTTGTGAAGTGAATCTGTTGTCATTCTTAAGTATTGATACAGGTCAATTTAGGATTGCAAACTGCTTAATGTGCTGTTTTAGCACTCACCCCTGCCCTACAGTTCATTAGTTGTGGCCTTATAGGTGGTTCCAAAATCTATTTTCATGCATTACTGTTACCATAGTATGTTTGTTGTCATTTATGAAAATATTTATGGCTTCTTGCTACTTTGATTGAACAAGATAACAATAGAGATTACTGAACGGGCAATTCAAATATCAAGCCCATCTATTTATACTTAGAACATAAGAATATGTGAAAATCTTGTGCATCACTGCCAGGGCTCCTTCTATAGAGAAAACTGCTGGCTTCCAGGTGAATTTACATTGTTATAGCCCTAAAAAGATACTTTGCCCATACTCTTATTTCCTTCTTTTTATGATCAATGTGAATAGTTGGACGACTGTCATTATTTCACTCACAAAATCAGTTTACAGGGAAGTTGATCAACCAACTTAAATCATTACAAGTGCAATAGCTACAAACAAATTAAAGTCAGTAACTTAATCAATGAAAGTAAAGAATTCAGCTTAATTATGCTTAAATACTTAGGGTTCCAAAGATACTTAGACAAATGATTACATTATTACATTATTATGTTATTATTGCAAATGAATGTGGAATTGAGAGAAAAACAAAGTATCCTTAACTAAATATGAATGATTTTTGACAGAACCAACTCAAAAACATTAAGAACGGAATCACTCTAAAGAAGTACGATAAGTAAGAAAACATCAAAGATCAATTCCAAATCCTTCAGCTCCTATTTTCTAAATTAGAAAATTACTATGCATGTTAACACAGCTCATTGAAATATTTCAATCATGTTTTGTTCTAGTTCCTGATGTCCAATGGCAGGCATCGTACATTGCCAAATAGGCAGTAAGCCAGCCAAAGGCTTCTGCTAAAACCATCAGGAAATTAGGAACGATGCAAGCATTCCAAACGGCACCCTCACCAATATGCAATCTTGGGAGAAAAGTTCTTAGACTAAGCTCAGCACCATCTTCTGCAGTGTGGCTTAGGTTGAGAAATGACTTATTGTATTCTATTGACTTACCTTCTCTTCACAGAAAGCCTCTATTTTCTGTGTGACTTTGGGGTGATCTGGGTTAAATATATCAGGACAACCTGCAAGGATAACATCTTCAATAGAGAACTGGCGAATTGTTTTCAAAGGAATCTTCCGCATGTTCATTTTCTTTCCTTTAATTCGTAACAGCCCAACATGTCTATAAATCAAGAGGAATAAAACAGTTTAAATATCAGCAATAATGTCATCCATATTGATCTCACTTGATTGTAACTCAAATGTGCAGGCTTTAAAGAAGTTCAACAGAGATATTGAAGTGAATGTTTAAAATCCATGCTGCTAGAGAGCATACATTAACTCAGCACATAAATCTGACAGGATTGGTAAGATGACCTCAATGTCCAAATTACTTATATACCCACTGCACAAATCTCTGTACTAGCAGTACTACTTCAGCACTTTTTAAAAAAGTTCTGGATGACAATCAGGTGTTTAAAAAGTTTAAAATATGTTTCAGAGTGCAATTTCGTTACTGCAAGCAAACAGCAAACCCAGAAAAATCAATGGGATAAATGGAAAATTGACAAGGAAGGAAAACTATGGGCAATTCTTATTTTTTTCAATGATACTTAGATCACAGAATCCCTACAGTGTGGACACAGGCCCTTCGGCCCAACAAGTCCACACCGACCCTCAGAGCATCCCACCCAGACCCATCCCCCTACAACCCACCTAATCTACACATCCCTGAACATTATGGGCAATTTAGCATGGCCAATCCACCTAGCCTGCACATCTTTGGACTGTTGGAGGAAACCGGAGCATCCGGAGGAAACCCACGCAGACAAAGGGAGAATGTGCAAACTCCACACAGACAGTCATCTGAGGTGGAATCAAACCCCAGTCCCTGGTGCTGTGAAGCAGCAATGCTAACCACTGAACCACCGTGCCACCCTCTAGTCCATGTATCACACAAGCAGTTTACTAGACTGTGATTTTATTGCTGAGGAATTTTGTTTTATCTACCCACTAAATAAATAGCAGCTTGTCTACATCATAGCTCTCACAATTTCTTAAAAGGAAATTGAAAAAAATCACTTTGTATAGCAAGTGATCCAATATATTTCAATACATTATCTGCTTTGCTACATATGAAGTGTAAAGAAACTTCTAACTTAGCATAGATGAATCTCAAGTCAAAGTACTAATTTAGTAGGACAAGAGTAAAGTCAAGTTTTAGGAGCATTATCACCTCCAAAATCCCAAGCCACATCATACCAGCTTCGTTTGGACCTATATCATGATTCTTTCATCATAACTGAGAGTCTATCCTAAACTTTCTTAATTAAGACTATAATGAGAACACCGATTAGATGCCGACAACTCCGCCTTTGACAAAAAGAGTACACGGACAGTTCATCAAAATCAAACTTTTAAAAATATGTTGCTAACAGTAAGAAATGCCTCTCAACTAACTGTACAATTGTGTTAGAACAAAATTAGCAAGGTAGACTTTAAAAAGGCATATACTTCTTTACAGCTTCTCCTGGAGAAAGAGAAGTAACAACTGTGCTTCCAGGCTGTGAGACATAGAACAGCTGCTGTTCATTTCTTGTCGGAGCTATCTTACATTCGTGTTCATGTCCCCAAATGACAAGGTCCAAAAAATCATCCAAAAATTGCTCAGGAATGTAATTGGTAGCTCCATGTTTGTACCTGTTTAAGAAATAACAAATTGTATAAACATTCAACCATGTCATATTCAACTATAAAAGATATTTTTGAATGCAAACATTCCCAACACCAAGTCTAAAACTTCTGATTCACTTCTTCAGAAACTACTGACACTGAAGTAAACATTTTTGCATTTTTAAATTTTCTTCTGATTGAATGAGAAATGACTATCTCATTAGTTCCTCAACAGCTCAATTTCTTAAAGAGATCATGGCACAATTTACTAATGGCAAGTTTCTTTAAAAAAGTTATCTTGCAGAGAGTTTTCTTCCAGCATTTCTAATGGTTCAGTGACTTACATTCCAAATATCATCACAACAGAGCAATAATAAAAGCAGCATCTACATCCTGCTTTCTCTTACAAAAGATTTGGCATTACATTTTTTTTAAACACCTGATGACTTCTCGGAGTATACAATTATAAATAAAATGCATCAAAAAAAAAAACTCAAAGATCGCACCAGAATTTGTAAATTTCTGCAGATGCAGCAATGTAATTCCTTTTTTCCCCTCATCCAGTCTTCCAATTAAAATTGCTTGGTAATGTTATTTTCCACCAAATCACTAATTTGTTTGTTTTTTTTTACCTGTTTTGATGAATAACAAATATGTTAAACCAGCTATCTTCATCTTCCTTTGGCCTAAGCATAGTAACTTGCTTATTTACAAACATTCGGTAGAGACGCTCATCTGGGATGGCTCCTGTGAATTCATAGAGCACACACAGCATTTTACCAAAATTCCAATGGATTTCAAGTTAAATAAGACACATCACTTTCTAAATCACGATTCTTAAAATCCTGCAACTATACTGCATGATTAGCATTACTTGTACTGAATTCAAACAATTGTACTAAACATGTTTGTTGGAAATATTTTGCTGATTTTCCCCTTCCACAATCATAATTTGTCTAGATGTCAGCATCTGCTAAATTTTAAGATTACAGACTGGGGTACAGATGAGATGTAGCCTTAATGGGGATCCTTATTCACTGTTCAGAACATCCCAGCAATGTCACTAACCTGAACATAAGTGAGGACAAAACAGAATCCAATTAGCCACTTGCTCGTCAGATGGATAGTCTATGCTGGTCTGACCACACATCTGGTAAGGTTGCTCAGAAGCAGGAACACGCTGCAGAGCCACCTGACCAGAGGTGCAATCTCCTGTTGGGAGGACTAAGTGTGACTGAGGAATTGGGGAGGGGGCCTACCTCCATCCTGTTGCAGTACCTCTGCTAATGTTGTACAGCACGGCTGCTCAGGAAACTGGTCACCTCCTGCAAGCAGCAAAAATGATTATCCTGCAGCACCAAGGAGGCTACACTTCAATAAAAAAAAGGTACTTTATTGACTGAGATTGGGAGCATGCCAAATGAATGCAAGACTTTCCGTCTGTGTTTTTTGGACCCTGCTTTTGAACTGTGTATGCAGCTGGGTTGGGTGAGGGTGTGGGAAGTGGGGATCTGTGGCTTACTTGCACAGTTCTTGCAATTTCCCTGTAATCATTCCACATCCACATTCACTGCAATGTAATCACAATCTCTCTTGCTCACACATTTCCACTTGAAAATGAATGCAGTTGGTTCCCTGCTGGATTTACCTGTTAACCAATCTTGTGATGCAGACGAAAAAGGGTTTTAAAATTCACAAGATGACCCATATTTTACCTCCCTGTTCCTGGGGTTAGTTTGAGCTGCAGGACTGGGTATTGGGCACGGGGCAGAGTTCTGTCTTTATGACAAACACCTGGTTGCTTTCACATTGTGTGGTGTCAACTAAACAGCTCCTTTGTTTTGTCATATGGATAGCAATAACAACTTCTCTTCATATAGCACTTTAAATGAAAAGAACCATCTCATGATGCTTCACAGGAGCATTATAGAACAAAATATGACGTTAAAACACATAAGAACATTAAAACCAGGAGCAGCAGTCATCAATTCAGCCCCTGGAGCCTGCTCCGTCATTCAATACGATCATGGCTGATCTCATCTCAGTCTCAATTCCACTTTCTTGCCCACTCTCCATAACCCTTCAACCCATTACTAACTAAAAACCTGTCTATCTCCTCCTTAAACTTATTTGATGTCCTGACATCCACTGTACTAGAGTGTAGTGAATTCCAGATTCACAATTCTTTGAGAGAAGCAATTCTCCCTCATCTCTATTATAAATCTGTCATCACTTAGCCTAAAACTGTGACCTCTTGTTCTAGATTGCCCCACAAGAGGAAACATTCTCTCTACGCCTATTTCGTCAATCCCCTTTAGCATCTTATTTACCCCAATTACATCTCCTCTCATTCTTCTAAACTCTAACGAGTATAGAGTTGTAGAGTCATAGAACATGGAAATAGAGCCATCAGTCCATGTTGAACATAATCCCAAACTAAACTCATCCCATCTGCCTGCTCCTGGCCCATATCCCTCCAAGCGTAAACTGCCCAATCTCTCCTCACAAGATAAGCCTTTTATCTTGGGAATTAATCCAGTGAACCTTCTCTGAACTGCCCTCAATGCAATTACACCCTTCCTTAAGTAAGGGACCATAACTGTACACAGTGCTCCAGACGTGGTCTCACTAAAACCTTGTATAATTTCCACAACACTCTTCTTGTTTTATGCTACATTCCTTTAGAAAAACTGCCAAAATTCTCTTTGCCCTCCTTGTTACCTCCTGCACCTACATACTAGCTTTCTGCAATTCATGCACGAGGACACACAGATCCCTCTGAAATGAAGCATAATGAGCTTTTAGGTCAGGTGAACAAAAGCTTGGCCAAAAAGGTATGTTTTGCACCATAAGAACAGGAATCGGTCATTCAGTCTTTTGAGATCCAATGAGATCACGGCTGATCTGTGGCCTAACTCCATGTACCTGCCTTTGGCCCATATCCTTTAATACCTTGGCTTAACAAACATTTATCTATCTCAGATTTAAAATTAACAACTAATCCGCATCCAAAGCCATTTGTGGAAGAGTATTTCAAACATTAACCACCCTTTTTGTGTAGAAGTTCTTCCTATAATCTCTCCTGAACGTCTTCTTTGCAATGAGAAAGTTCACCTGCTGGTATGAGGCACTGCTCATCTCAATAAACATAATTACAAAGATTTATACATCATTAATTTACTATTTATGAGAAATTCTCTGCTGCATTTATGTAACAAGGTACAACACTTCAAAATTTTGGTATTGCAGAAAACACAAAAAGAAGCCATAAAAATGCATGCTCTTTCGGTAGACATGAGCAAACAAAGTATTTATACCAAACTCAAGAATCTCACCCAACCCATAGAGCGCCAGCTTAGTATTTCCTTTCTGCATCAGAACAGGGCTAATGTCAGTCTTCTCCACAGACATGGACCGACCAAAATGATTTACTAATCCAGCACAGCTCAAAAGATCCAAGGCACAAAGGGCATCTGCCTAAAAGAAATGAAGATGTCCAGTAGAATTAAAATGTAATATATACTGAATCAAGTTCTTAAAGGCAGAATATAAGGGCCTAATGACTTTCTCCATTTTTTTTATTTGTATGCTTCTTTTACATACCAGGTAAATGTAGTTAGGTAAATAATGGACAGCATAATAATGAGCACTGCTGCTTCACAGTGCCAGGGACCCAGGTTCGATTCCAAGCTTAGAGTCATAGTCATACGGCACAGAAACAGACCCTTTGGTCCAACTCATCCACGCTGACCAGACATCACAATATGACTTGTCCCATTTGCCAGCATTTTGACCACATCCCTCTAAACCCTTCCTATTCATATGCCCATCCAGATGCCTTTTAAATGCTGTAATTGTACTTGCCTCCACTACTACCTCTGGAAGCTCGATCCAGACACACACCACCCTGTGTGAAAAAGTTACCCTTCAGGTCCTTTTTAAAGTCTTACTCCTCTCACTTTAAACTTATCTAGTTTTGGCATCATCCACCCTAGGAAAAGATCTTGGCTAATAAGCCGATCCATGCTCCTCATGATTTTATAAACCTCTATAAAGGTCACCCCTCAGTCTCCAGTGCTCCAGGATTAAACATCCCAGCCTATTCAGCCTCTCCCTATAGCTCAAACCCTCCATTCCCAGCAACAACTTTTCTGCACCCTCTCTAGTTTAATAACATCCTTCCCACAGAAGGGCAACCAGAATTGTACGCAGCATTCCAAAAATAGTCTCACCAATGTCCTGTACAGTCACAACATGACATCCAACTGTGAAGTATGCACAATCTCCTGTGGCTGTTTGGGTTTCTGCTGTTGCTCTGGATACCTCCCACAGTCCAAAGATATGCAGGTTTAGTTGACTGGCCATACTAAATTAATTGCCCCATAGTATCCAGGGACGTGCAGGCTAGTGGATTAGCCATGGCAAATCCAGAGTTATGGGGATAGGATGGAGGGCGGAGTCTTGGTGGCATGCTCTTTAGAGGGTTGGTGCATGATTGGCTGAATGGCTTCCTTCTGCAGTATAGGGATTCAATGAAAACAAAGAACTCCACACGTTGGATGACAAGGGAAACTGTAAGGTTAGTCAAATGAGAAAGGGAAGCATACGACAAGTCTAGGCGGCTACAAATTGCTGAAGCCCTGAAGAAGTACAAATAAATTAGGAAGGAACTTAAATGCGCAATTAGGAAGGCAAAAAGGGGCCACGAAATGTCTTTAGCAAACAGGGTCAACGGGAATCCCAAGGCTTTTTATGCATATGTTAGGAGAAAGAGGGTAACAAGGGAAACAATACCCCCACTCAAGGATGAAGGAGGGAAGTTATACACAGAGCCACAGGAAGTGGGGGAGATCCTGAATGAGTACTTTGTATCAGTTTTCACCAAGAAGAAGGACATGACTAATGTTGAGGTCAGGGATGAGTGTGTGAATACTCTTTAGAATGTCAACATATTGAAAGAACAGGTTTTGGGAATCCTAAATTGCATTAAGATAGACAAGTCCCCAGGACCAGATGGAATCTATCACAGGTTTCTCAGAGAGGCAAGGAAGGAAATAGCTGGGGCACTGGCAGATATCTTCACATCTGCATTGACCACAGGTGAAGTTCCAGAGGACTAGAGATTAGCGAATTTTGTTCCCTTGTTGAAGAAAGGATCCAGGGATAATCCAGGAAACTATAGGCCGGTGAGCTTGACGTCCATGGTGGGGAAGCTCTTGGAGAAGATACTGAGGGATAAGATATATGCGCATTTGGAGGAAAATTATCTACTAAGTGACAGGCAGCATGGTTTTGTTCAGGAAAGGTCATGTCTCACCATCTGATTGAATTTTTTGAAGAACTAACCAGGATAATTGAAGAGGGAAGGGCTGTTGTTGTAGTTTATACGGACTTTTGATAAAGTCCCACATGGCAGGTTGGTACAAAAATTAAAATCTCAAGGGATTCAGGGTGACCTGGCTAGATGGATAGAAAACTGGCTTGGTCATAGAAGACAGAGGGTAGTGGTGAAGGATGTTTTTCAGAATGGAGACCGGTAACTAGTGGTGTTCCACAGGGGTCAGTCTTAGGTCCTTTGTTGCTTGTAGTATATATAAAATGGACTGGAGGAAAACGTGGGCGGTCAGATAAGCAAGTTTGCTAATAACACAAAGATTGGTCAAGTTGCTGATAGTGCCCAGGATTGTGAAAAGTATACAACAGGATATAGATAGATTGGCAACTTGGATACAGAAATGGCAGATGGAGTTTAATCCAGACAAATATGAGGCAATGCATTTTGGAGGATCAAATTTAGGTGTGAATTATGTTGTAAATGGCAGAACCCTTAGGAACACTAACATTCAGAGGGATCTGGGCATGCAGGTCCACAGTTCTCTGAAAGTGGCAATACAGGTAGCCAAGGTGATTAAGGCGGCATTTGGCATACTTGCCTTCATCACCCAGGGCGTGGAGTACAAGATTGGTAAAACATGTTGCAGCTATATAAAACCCCTATCAGGCCGCATTTGGAGTACTGTGTGCAGTTTTGATCACCACACTAGCAGAAGGATGTGGAAGCTTTGGAGAGAGTACAGAGAAGGTTCACCAGGATGTTTCCTGGTCTCCAGGCCATTGACTATAAAGGAAGTTTAAAAAGACTAGGATTGTTTTCAGTGGAAAGATGGTGGCTGAGAGGAGACCTGATAGAGGTCTACAAAATTATGAGAGGCATAGATAGGGTGGATAGTCAGAGGCTTTTTCCCAGCATTGAAGTTTCAATTACAGGGGGCACAGGTTCAAGGTCAAAGGGAAAAAGTTTAAGGGAGATATGTGATGGAAGTTTTTCATGCAGAGTGGTAGCAGCCTGGAATGCACTACCAGAAGAGGTGGTGGAAGTGGGCACATTGAGGACATTTAAGAGGCACCTAGATGGGTACATGAATAGGAAAGGAATAGAGCGATATGGATCAAAAAAAAAGGCAGGTTTGTTTTTAGATTAATTAGGGCATGATGGTCAGCACAGGCTTGGAGGGCCAAAGGGCCTGTTCCTGTACTGTACTTTTTAATTTGTTCTTTTGTTGCAAATCTGCAACTAAAGCAAAAATTTTAGGAGAAAATCACCAAGTCTGGCAGCATACGTGGAGAGAATCAAAGTAAACATTTTGAGTCCGGTAACACTGGATAACGAGGGAGGTTATGAATTTATTCAAAAGGGAAAAAGAAGCATACATAAAGTTTTTGAAGCTGGGCCTATGTGGAATATAAAGAAAGCAGGAAAGAACTGAAGCAGAATTAGGACAGCAATTAATGGCAGGGCCTTGGGCAGCGTTGGAGAACAGAGGGACCTATGGGTGCAGGTAAATAATGCTTTGAAGTTTGTGTCACATAGAGATAGGGTGGTTAAAAGGTGTTTGGCATGCTTGCCTTCATTGCTCAATCCTTTGAGTATAGGAGTGGCAAAGTCATGTTGAAGTTATACAGGACATTGGTGAGGCTACTTCTGGAATACTGTGTCCAATTCTGGTCGTCCAGGTATAGGAAGGATATTATCAAGCTGGAGAGGATTCAGAAGAGATTAACCAGGATGTTGCTGGGTATGGAAAGTTTGAGTTATAAAGAAAGACTAGATAGGCTGGTACTTTTTCCACTGGAGCATAGGAGGTTGAGAGGCGACCTTATAGAAGTTTATAAAATATTGAGAGGTATAGAGTTAATTGTAGTTGTCTTTTCCCTAGGATGGGGGATTTCAAGACTAGTGGGCACATTTTAAAGGTGAGAGTAGAGTAATGTAAACATGAGACACGAGAGGCAAATTTTTCTTACAAAAAGCGTGGTTCATGTGTGGAATGAACTTCCCGATGAAGTGGTGAATGCGGGTACAATTACAAAGTTTAAAAGACATTTGGATTGTTACGTGAATAGGAAAGGTTTGGAGGGATATGGGCCAGGAGCAGGCAGGTGAGACTAGTTTAGTTTGGGGTTATGGTCGGCATGGACCAGGTGGACCAAAGGTCTGTTTCCGCGCTGTATGACTCTATGACTAAGAAAGGTTAAAGAGAATCTCAGGGCATTCTATACATACATTAAAAAAAAAGAGGATAACAAGGGAGAAAGTAGGACCAATCAAGGACAAAGGAGGGAACCTGTGCTTGGGGCCAGAGGATGTGGGAGAAATCCTAAATGGGTACATTGCGTTGGTACACACTCAGCAGAAGGATATGGAAGATAGTGAAATTAGTGTGGAGCATGCTAATATGCTAGGGCATTTTGGGGTCAAGAAAAAAGTAGTGTTGGGTCTCTTGAAAAGCATTAAGGTAGATAGGTCCCCAGGGCCCGATGGTTTCTACCCCAGGTTACTGAGGGAGACAAGACAGGAGATTGGTGGGGCCTTGACCAAGATCTTTGTATCCTCGCTAGCCACATGAGAGGTCCTGGAGGACTGGCATGTAGGTCTGTTCAAGAAAGGAAACAGGGATAACCCAGGAAAATATAGACCGATGAGTCTCACATTGGTGGTTTGGAAGCTACTGGAGAGACTTCTTAGGGATAGGATTTATGTGCATTTGGAAAAGCATGGCCTAATTAGGGACAGTCAGCTTGGCCTTGTGTGGGGCAGGTCATGTCTTACTAACTCGATTGAATTTTTTGAGGAGGTGACGAAGGCGATGGACAAGGGTAGAGCAGTCGATGTTGTCTACGTGGATTTTAGTAAGGCTTTCAACAAGGTCTCTCATAGTAGGCTATAAGGAGACTGAAAAAAAACACGTTGTTCTCCCTGGGGCAGCAGAGGCTGAGTCGAGATTTGATAGAAGTCTATAAAATTATGAGATGCGTAGATTTGAGTTGACAGTCAAAATATTTTTCCCAGAGTTGAAATGTCTAATACTAGGAGGCAAACATTTAAGATGTAACCAATTTTTACAAATATGGAAAAAAAATTGGAAAAGGCTTAAAAGCTGATATGTGGGACGTTGTGTCCCATTAACCAGTGCCTA